GAGACAACCGTAGAAGAGTACTTGGAGCGAGTCGTGCCAATCCTCGCAAGCATCTACGACCGAAAGTTTTCAAAGCACGCTTGGAGCCTCGACGGTCGTCTACGACTTCCATCCCAACCGACAACTTTTCCTCCGACGAATTTCTTCGGCGCCCTCTCCCTAGTGGTAACTTCGTTCATCTCTTGGATCTTCTATCTCCACCAAAAGTCCACTACCTCTTGAGTGATACGGCCCCAAGGTGAATTCCTCATTGCTAAACGTTGGGTTTTGTTGTTGTACTTTGCATATTAAATTCGCCTAGAACTTTGAAAGAATCGTTTTGGTTAATCTTGTTTGCAGCTCTTTCGCCTAAGCAAAGTTAACGTTTCGACATCTTAACTCAATCTTGCATGATCCCATAAAATTAAAAAGAGAATTGTTATAAAAGCAAACTTTAACAATTCTCTTTTTAATTTTGAACGTAACTCCTAGTAGTTTCACATCAGGAAGAAGCTTTTTTTTTATCGGATCATTTTGTGCATCTTGTTAGTTATTTGGCACACTTGACATGTCTTTTGATTTTTTTATACACTTTGTATCTTTCAACTATTTTGCAATCATTGCGCATCATTTATATTTTCATTTGGGCTCATTTTATATCTCTTATCAATTTTGTAAGCTAGCTACCTTTTGAAACCTTTAAAGACTCTTAGTTGTGAGAAAATCTTCTAGATGTAGGAGAAAAAAATTCATTCTCTAATATAAGAAAAAATAAACCACAAATCAAAATCATATAGATATGATAAATGCAACAACCTGATCAAAAAAAATTGAATGTGATTTAATGAATTTGAGCATTATTTATATGAGATATATTACTGTACGAAGATAGAATAGATCTCAATTTCAAAGTTCAACTTTAAATTTGAAATAGATTTTGCTCCAAAAATAAAAATACATCACTAAAGGAGTTAAAGGAAGAGAGATAATTATTTATTTTTCTTCATTTAACTGATTTAGAGAAGTTAATCACTGCTTAATAATTTTTTAGATAAAAAAGAGATAAAATTTTAATTTAAAAAAATATGAGAGAAGTTAATTGATTCTCTTATGCAAATATAATATGCAAAGTGATTTGTGTGCATAGATCGTGCATAAATCACAAAATCATACAAGAAAAAATAAAATAAAATGATTCCAAACAAAAAAAACATAAAAAATAGCATAAAAAACTTTTATAATAAACAAAATAATATAATAAACATATATGCATGCATTAACTACAACACATAAACACATAAATCAAACTTTTTACCTCATTACCATTCTCCTAGTTTGATGATTAAGAAAATAGGTCTTCCTAGAAGATTATTTGCTTTTTATCAATTGCCCTTATTGCATTTTGTTTATTTTTACCATTTTCTTTGCTTGAAGAGTTTTTACATTAAGGCATAAATTTTTCATATGTTCTAATTTACAACACCCAAAACAATGTCAAAGGAAATCTTAACATTCTTACCATTTTAGGTTAATTCAACTATTTTTTTGGTTGACGCTTGTGCTTTAGTAGATTTTCATATTTGCTTGTTAATGATGATATCTCTTTACTCTTAACATCTACTAAGTCTTTTTCATCCTTGTCTTCAGCTTTTAGCACTAAAGGCTCACCTGCATCCAAAAGCAAAATAACAAACCCTAATACTCTCAATAGGGAAGTATTTATAACATAGGGCACGCTAGAGTACTCATTATTGAAAAGCAGTAATCATCTCCCACTACTCTGCACAACAACTAACCTTGGCAATGCCTCATCCCTGCAGCAGCCTCCTCTTTTTACTTTATGTAACTGTCCAGGGTAGTATAGACATTTTGCTACCTTTACATAACTTGTGTATTTATATCCATACTTCCTACAGTAAAATACACAATTAGGATTCTACCTGATACGAGATCATCTTCTTCCTCTAATTTTCCTTACTGTGTTAACACTTACTGCCTTC